AAATTCCATTTACAAGACAATTGTTTATAATAAAATTCTATTCAATCGGTAGACTCATAACAATTGAAAACAATGTTTTTGTTTGAGTTTGGGTTTGACCAATTCGTAAAAAAAAAAAAAAACTAATTAAGACATGTGTCCGTCAACCTCAATAATCTTTGTCAATTTTATTTTTCAGTCTTTATGATGGTGGATACTTGATCTATCTCTTACTGTTACATCCCCGGGCAACACCGGGCTCTACTGCTAGTCTGCTCCTAAGTCTCAACAAAAGGCTACAAATGACAGCAATTTTATTTTGAAACACACTGACATTCGCATTTATTATATTGATAACAAATAATTAGAACAATTACGACTGAGTAGTGAGTTCGATCCTTACTGGGTGCTCCATACTTTCGGCCTTGTGCCACATCTAAGCTATGTTTAGAAAATCACTATAGATAACAAATAAACATAAAAAATAGCAAGGTACATGTTTCGGTACAGACCAGGCATCACACCCCGAAAAAAATTACAAGCAGTTTTAAAAAGTTCTTAATAATGGTGTTTCCAATCTGTAGGAATGTTTATTTAAACAATATTTACATTATTTTATGGCACAAGGCCAAAGGCAGAGTAAAGAAAGAAAGGTCGACACTGTTTATCCTAAATCGAGCCAATTCGACTCACGACGCATTTACTTGAAGCAATCATCGCAAGAACCTATTCTTCTCCATAATTTAATCACCACAGAGAAACTTCCTTTCCCCATCAGCATAGTTGATGTTCCACTCTGTGAGAATGTCTCACTGTGCCTTCTTGGCCTCACGTTTTTTAATGATTTGAGGTGGAACAACTACATCGAATCAATTGCTGCATCTACTGCAAGGAAAGTTGGTTCACTGTGTTGTGCCAAATGTTTGTTTTTTTTATTCGCCAGAGTCCATTTTACACATCTACAAATCTACCATTGAATATTGATATCATATCTGCCCTTGATGTTCATCTCGAGGTTCTCGACAAAATCCAAAGAAGGATCTGCAATATAATCGGTCCTGACTTGGCATCTCGACTTCAGTCACTTTCTCATCGTGATGTGGCTTCCCTCTGTCTTTTCTACAAATATTACCATGGCAACTGTTCTGATGAGCAAACCTCGCTGATGCCCGGACTACATGAATTTAAGCGTGCTACTAGATTGGCCTATAGGTCCCACTCTTTTACTGTTGAAATAGTTAAATGCAATCGCCACTTCTACTCCAGCAGTTTCTTCTATCACACTTCCCAACAGTGAAACTCTCTTCCGTTTACTTGCTTCCCTGATAGCTACAATTTTCAAAAATTTAAATGCAACGCCGATCGCCATCTGTTGAATCCTTGTTCTTCTTTTATCTTTTTCTAAATCCTCACACAGTCATTTCTCTCACATTCACTCTCCGTAGCCCCCTGCGTGCTAGTGGCACTCCCGCCTTGCTTGGGGTGAAATGCTTAAAAAAAATAATCCAACCCCGACATTTACCATAATACCACGTTTTTACATCTATCACTCACTCTTCATTATTTTCTTTCTATCGGTTCATATATACAGGCTGATTGAAAAGTAACTCTCCATTTTAATATACTTATAATTTATTTATTAACTATAATTTTTACAAGAAATGGATATGAAAGGAAAGCGTTTAGCATGAGGTTTTATTTCAAATTCGACACGGGCACCAGATTTCGCTCCTAGCTTCTCGAGCCGCACAGGAATCGCGTCAGCTGATTTCACCAGGAACTCTTGTATGGAAGACAACTTCTTGTATTCGCCCTTCAAGTTCTTCCAAAGTCTTGCTTTGGTATAGTAGGCTTGCTCTTGTAATCAACGAAAAAAGTCACAGTGTATTCACTCACGACTCCTGGCTGGCCACCTATACATAAAATATGGAGTTACTTTTCAAATCACACACACACACACCCCTCTCTTTCTCACTATCTCTCTCTCTCCCTATATATATATATATATATATATATATATATATATATATATTATTGTGTGTATTTAGGCAGCATATTTTCATTTATACACGTTTCATTAAATAATATAGACAAGTGTTGTCTATTTATTTTATGTAAAATTTGTTCGTAACATCTGATAAGTTTGATAACATTATCATTAAACGAAGAAAGAAATTCACAATATTGATCCATATTTTTTTTAATATAATCTAAGCTTTCGGCTTACTTAAGCCATTATCAAAGATGTAAATCACAAACATATTAAACAATATACGGACACGACAGTGATGATAGTCTGTCATTGTTTACATAGTTGATCACTAAGCAACGATAAACACGCGCATATAAGACGTATATTGTTTAATATGTTTGTGATTTACATCTTTGAAGGTGAAAAATCGAAAAAACTGATTGTTTACACTTTGCGCAAAAATCAAAGGCAAAATTTAATATCTGCAAAAAAACAGCATACAATCAATTTAGAGAGTTGAAATCTAACGCAAAAAATTGTTAGAATTATAAAAATATAATTATATTATAAATAAAAAAAAATATCGTATATTATTATTAGGATGGTCAATGGAAGAGGTTCCTTCCTTGCAAAATTGAGAACGCAAAAAATGGCCCTTTTCAGGTCCAACCCCTCATTTAGTTGCACCCAATTGTTGTTACTAATAATGATTTTCGGGTGGGCTGACTTTAAATTTGAACTGCTCCAATTGAATGGTAAAAATTCCCGGTAATAAAACACCTGGTCGAAGGCGGATTATACTGCTAGTAATACTTACCTGGCTTATGGAAGAGGGTATCCCCAGACGAGGCTCTGCCGAAGGGCAGAGTCTCGTCTTGGGAAACTGACTCCGTTTTTACGTGGTTTATAGGGAATTTTTGCCCGAGCCTACGGGCTCGGATACCCCACTTTAAACTCGGCCTTGTGCCACATCTTGCTGCGTGAGGCAGCGGCTAAATAATTATACTGCTAGTAATTGAATAAAATGTATATATTTTTTAAAGAATAATTTTGATAAATAAAAAACACAAATTATGACTCTATCTAATTTAAGGGACAGTTTAAGTTTAGGGTAACTGGGAGCGGTTTCCGTCTCCGATTGAGCCAATCATCTCAGCGCACGGGGATAACTTGTCTAAACGTCGAGGTGTAACCTGAGGGACGTGTCATGAGAAAGTGAGAAACAGGAGGGAATTTTTTTTATAGTCGTATTGTTACGACAAATATCTGAAGTATCTCTTTCAAGGAAATACTACATGCTCAGCTGAACATTGGGAGGGAATCACTGAAAATATTGTTTAAAATTATAAACCTGTGTTAGAAAAAACGCAAAGAATTTCAAATCGGAATCAGCCAAGAAAAAAACGTAAAGAATTTGAGTCAATCACGGAAAATACATTCCATTGCAAAATATTTCACCTGAAGAAGAAAATCGAGTTGTATTCACTTCAAACAAACGCCTACTTTAATACAGTACCTTGTTTATATTCTGAATTTTAATTTCTCTATGATGAAACAAGTTGGTCAAAGAAATAACTCCCCTCTCTCTCTGATAAATATATATATATATATATATATATATATATATATATATATATATATATATATATTATGAAATGGACAAAGTCCGTCAATTATTTTAAGACATTTTATGTTTAAACTTTTTTATGAATACAAATATTTAAGTAAATGGTCTGTTTATAATAAATAGTACTAACGACATTTACCGGCCTGAATGTCCGAGAAATTTTCATAGAAACTATGCGTCCTCCAGCAGGAATCGAACCTGTATCCTACACGGAACCATCATATAGCCTGACGTATTTTTTTTTATATATATATATATATATATATATATATATATATATATATATATATATATATATATATATATATATATATATATATATATATATATATATATAAGAGATTATAATAAAACATGTTGAAATCGCACACACACACACACGCATATATATATATATATATATATATATATGTTAGGGAATAAATGGCAAAGTGGAAAAAGTTTACTTGTGACGCGGAGTAAATTTGTTATGTAGGTACAACTACAATTTAGTCCGATGAAGTCTTGAATATATCGATTTATTTGTATTAAATCAATTTTTCTGTTTTCTATGTATATTTAGTATAATTAGTTATTTTGCATTTTTATACAGTTTATTATATGAAAAGTATGTTTATTCATTAGTTGAAAATACAATAACTAAATAATAAAATATTTGTATGTGTACGAATATTTGTTTTCCCTCACAGTATATATATATATATATATATATATATATATATATATATATATATATGTGTGTGTGCGTATTTAGACAGCAATCCTTCTTTCATGCGCATTTCATTGAATACGACAGACAATGTGGTTTTATTTAGTTTTTTTTTTAATACAATTTCTCATGCGATCTAATAATTTTTTTTTCTTTTCGGTTGATAAATTATATAAAAAGTGTCCGAATGTTCTTTTTATCCGAGCGCTTTCGGCTATACATTTAGCCATTTTCAAGGATTAAATATTTTAACTGTTAAATAAGAAATAGTTTGTTGTATGTATTTTTATAAAATGTTTTCATTTTTTAAAACACGGTCAAGATATTGTGTCCATGTTCAAAGTTAATATTATTAAGTGCTGTTTTTTCTTTTTATTAATAAGGCTTCCATTATTTTTAGCCATTTTTTGCATGTTGTCATATATATATATATATATATATATATATATATTCATGATGTGTCAAACTTTTCCTTGATGTATATGCTCTGTATTGTATACATTAGGCTCTCTCCAGATCTACCTTTTTAATATTTTATATTAAAAAAACACTTGGATTATCCTTTCCACTTACGGATCTGATATTATATATATATATATATATATATATATATATATATATATATATATATATATAGAGAGAGAGAGAGAGAGAGAGTACGTCAGGTATTTGAGGACACCTTGAAAACCGTAAGGTAAATAAGCATATCTTACAACAACTAAATTTGTAAAAGTTGGTACATATATATAATAGATATGAACATAGATAGATAGATAGATAGATAGATAGATAGATAGATAGATAGATATGAATAGACTTAGAAAGATAGATAGATAGAGATTAGTATATATATATATATCACTATATATATATATATATATATATATATATGAATTAAAGATAAATGTGGATTGGGATCCGACAAGATGATAGAATAAAAGAACAAATAGGAAAGATATATCAATCTAACATTTTTCACTTTTATTTTTCATCAGAGATTGAGAGGAAATTGACAAAAAGATAGATCTTTAGTATTTTCAATTATGTTTGGGGCAGTTTTCATTGGTCAGACACGTGTCACGTGTATTTAAAGCCTGGATAATTCCATTTGTATGTAGGTTTTCGAAAATTCTTGTATATCTAAGTGGGCAAATATACAAGAATTTACACCAACCTATATACACATAAAATTATTTGTGGTGGATATGGTAGCATTTAGTACCTTTCCTAATTGTCGATGAAGGTGTAGTGGACAAAACAAGATCTAGATTTAAAATTCAAATGCTAAGCAATGACTCATTGATTTTGTTACAAAAGACTCGAATTTACAAATCTTGCTTTTTGCAAAAGCGAATCCAAAACAAAACTCATGAAATTTCACACCTTGATGCGAAATGTTTTTCAGCCAATAGAAAACTAGGTAACATTTAAATGCAAAAGTCAAATAATCTTCAATTTTCAGAATTCTTTTAAGGACCTTTTCGCGAGCCGATGCGAAGTTTGTTCGTCATCCAATGGAAAGACCCGAATCATATCTGGGAGTGAATTCTCAAATGACCATTTCAAGTCCCACAAACAAAATAAAAGACGGACAAGTTCGCCTGTCACCAGAGAGGAGACGAGCGTATTAACACATCTCTTGACAAACATCAAGCGATCGTTATTATTATCTGTACCTTTCTCCCTCACCTCTTTTATACCTGATAAACGAACGGAACATTTTAAGACTGAGCGATTACTTCAAAAACATTCCTACTCTACGATAACACTCATACATACATACATCCACACACACATTCCTGCCTACGTACACATAAACTCATTCTTGCAAGGACTACTACTAATATTTTGACGACCTTGTATCAATTAAAATACATTAATTTTATTTGTAGAGACTTTAATTGATTTATATGTATACAAATTTTTTGTTTCACTTTACAGTTTGATTTTCTTGTTTTATACCCCTCTTATGGTGGGCTATCTAACTAACAAGGCCAAATCAAACTAATCTGTTTCAATACTCATACACTTCACTATAACTGATAACCCTCTATAAACAAATAAGATGTTTTACCAGAGATTTTTATACTAAACAAATACAATATAATGCTTCTTAAATTAACCCAAACATACCAAGTACTTTCTAATTATAAACAAGACGAAAATATTCTAAAAAAACTAATAAATACTAACATATCCACCAAAGATCTTAGTAAAAAATAAAATTATTTATATACTACACTAAATCTACTATATATAATACAATCATTCGTAATGTCCCTTCCACACTAACTAATGTGTGGCAAAAAACCAACATTGTATGTAATCGAAAGTACTTGGGTTAACAAAAAATACGGAGCCTTCTTTGATGAATTTCAACTGAACATCAAGGAGGTAATTAGAGAATTTGAAAAGATTATTATGAATATAAATACACATATGTCTATATTATTTAATCAAATATGAATATATATATATATATATATATATATATATATATATATATATATATATATATATATATATATATATATATATATAGATATCCATATATGTAAAAAAATACGAAAGAACATGTTAGGTAAATAATCCGGAGTTCTTTAGTATTTTTTGTTTTTAGTTTTAAAAACAGTGCTCCATATAACAGTAGAGCTTAAATTATAATTATTTTTAAAAATAAAAATAATTACAATATATATATATATATATATATATATATATATATATATATATAAAGGGTTTGGACAAAATAATGAACAGGTGCAAATTACACTCCTATATTTCAAAGACCTATTATATTAAGAACTTTTACTAAAACTTCATAATTTCAGGTTATATCCATTGTAAATACGTTTATTTATCTAATTTGCTGTCTTTGTCATATTTGTTTTTAGAATTTAGTAAAATTTAAGCTAAATACGTGACCTCCCTAAATTCAAAAAGGCAAATTATTGGAGCTCGCATGGCAGGAGCCTCGATCACTAAGGTTGCTGAACTATTTGGTTATTCAAGAGCTACCATATCAAGAACTATGATGCAATTCGAGAAATAGGGCAAATCCTCTAGCAACCGTAGCAATTCGGGCGTTACTCTAAGAAAGCGGTCGAAAATTGTTACGTTGCACGAACACCCTGGCAAGCTTTACCAGTGAGCAAATCAAAGTACTATAGACTGGCCTGGAAATTCTCTTGATTTAAATCCAAACGAGAATCTATGGTCAATCTGCAAGGATCGACTTCGTAGAATGGACATACGAACACATTGGCAAGCCTTATCAGTTAGCAAATCAAAGTACTATCGACTGGCCCGGAAACTCTCTTGATTTAAATCCAATCGAGAATCTGTGGTCAATTTGCAAGACTTCGTGGAATGGACATACGAACACACAGGCAAGTCTTACCAGTGAGCAAATCAAAGTACTATAGACTGGCCCGGAAACTCTCTTGATTTAAATCCAGTCGAGAATCTGTGGTTAATCTGCAAGGAACGACTTTGTGGAATGGACATACGAGCACACAGGCAAGTCTTACCAGTGAGCAAATCAAAGTACTATAGACTGGCCCGGAAACTCTCTTGATTTAAATCCAATCGAGAATCTGTGGTCAATCTGGAAGGAACGACTTCGTGGAATGGACATACGAACACACAGGCAAGTCTTACCAGTGAGCAAATCAAAGTACTATAGACTGGCCCGGAAACTCTCTTGATTTAAATCCAGTCGAGAATCTGTGGTTAATCTGCAAGGAACGACTTTGTGGAATGGACATACGGACACACAGGCAAGTCTTACCAGTGAGCAAATCAAAGTACTATAGACTGGCCCGGAAACTCTCTTGATTTAAATCCAATCGAGAATCTGTGGTTAATCTGCAAGGAACGACTTCGTGGAATGGACATACGAACACACAGGCAAGCCTTACCAGTGAGCAAATCAAAGTACTATAGACTGGCCCGGAAACTCTCTTGATTTAAATCCAATCGAGAATCTGTGGTCAATCTGCAAGGAACGACTTCGTGGAATGGACATACGAAGTATTAACATGTGCACTGGGTTATGTTTCAATGGAAAAATACGAAAAAAAAAAAAAAAAATAAAATAACAGAATTATTCGTTTTGTTTCAATTAATTTACACATGGGTGTAGGATAAAAAAGATAAAACATTATATTTCCAATAGTTAAGCTGGAATGTGCAGGGAGTGTAATGGTTAGCAGATTGGAGCGATTAATCGGCGAGACGAGTTTAAATTCCTATGAAGTTCGTTATATTTGATTATCCCTACGAAAGGTATGGATCCATCTATTGTATATCCGTGGCTACATGGCAGGCTGGGGTTTGTAGCCATGACTGTCGACTTCTCTAGAAGGAAGGCTCTGAAATCAAAACCGATATAGAACTAATTTAGGGAGTTTAAAAATTAAATGCGCCGAGATGTTGTATAATTTGATCGCGACTTAGATGGAATAAAAAAAATAGTAAAATACCTCAAATCATAACTTAAATAAAGGCGATTTCATGAATATTGTTTTATCGCTTCAAGGAAAAGTCGTGTTTTATTTAACATTTCAGCTGAGTCACTTCCTACTACACAAAATGAAATAAAAACGACTTGTAAAATCCTTCTAATCATAACTTAAAAGAAAGCGATTTAATGGATATTATTTTATCGCTTCAAAAAAAGTCATGTTTTATTAAACACTTTAGCTGAATCCCTTCCTACTACACAAAATTGAATAAAAAACGTCTTGTAAAATCCCTCAAATCATGTTAAAAGAATGCGATTTCATAAATATACGTTTTATCGCTTCAAGGAAAAGCCATTTTTTTTATGAATCACTTCACTTGTATTCATTCATATTACACGCAATGGAATAAAAATATCTGGTAAAATTACTCAAATCATGTTAAAAAAAAGGCGATTTAACGAATATTCGCGTTATCACTTCAGGAAAAGACCACGTTTTCCTGAATCACTTCAGCTGAATCACTTCCTATACAAAATGTCAGATCTTATTCTGCAAGTCATTTTGTTTTCTCAAAATAAAATTTCTATTGACCAACCGATGTTGGGATTATTTCAGGATATATATATATATATATATATATATATATATATATATATATATATATATATATATATAAGAAAAACCATATTTTGAATCAGTTAATTTATAATATTTATGCTCTGTAAATTTACATTGAGCACTGTTTTGTAAAAATAAAAATATCAATATGAACACCGGATTATATATCTTACTGTTCTTGTTTTTTATTTTTTATATATATATATATATATATATATATATATATATATATATATATATATATATATATATATATACAAATGTAAAGGGACGAAAATAAAATTCAGTGTTCAAAACATTAAAACAGGACTCAATAGAGCAGTAGAGCAATAAATAATTATTAGACACTGTTACATTAGAACATGTAAGTAATTACTACAAAATTTTAAATTGCGTTTCGACGTTTAAATAAAATCGTTTATTGTCATCATTGTTAACTACCTGATGAGACGTTGTGTACTAAACGTCGAAACAAAATGTACAAATTTGTAGTAGTATGTTACATGTTCTAATGTAACAGTGTATAATATATATATATATATATATATATATATATATATATATATATATATATTATTTATTTAAAAATATGATTCCAACGCTATATAAATAATTACATGTATGCTCTACTTTTGTATCGAGCACTATTTTTTAAAAATAATAACAAAAAATACTAAAGAACTTTGGATTATTTACCTAACGAGTTCTTTCCTATTTTCTATTTATCTGTACACACACACACACACACATACATACACACACAATATATATATATATATATATATATATATATATATATATATATATATATATATATATATGCGGATGGATGTCAGGATACAATATTCCTTTAAAAAAATTACTAATAAATCTTTCAGGGGCGTGCCTGGTTTTGTTATCGATACAACAAGCAAATTACATGTTCACTTATAAATAAATCCAGACTATATAAACTACAGAAACATGTTTTTGTTTAACATAATATCCTGTAGATCTGAATAAATTATTATTCATTATTAAGTTGTTTCGGAAAATACTGCCCGGTTTTAAAATCAATTTTGATTCTTGAATTAATGTATTTGAACAAAGTTTTAAATCAGTCAAAATAGCAACCCGGGACCTCTATACTTTTCTTCCATCGAGTTCAATGGCTATTTATGCCTTTACGATAAATATCTGCGGGTTTGGATGTCAAGAAAGCTTTGAATGCGGTTTCTGCATCTTCTTTGCATCGGAATGTCGTCTAAGTTAAAAAGTGTCAAGATTCTTGAAAAAGTTGCAGTTAATGGACGATAACTCAAGGGAATATGGTAGGTGTGGCAAAATCTCGTATCCCAAGTTGGTGAGCTTCCGCAGTATCGTGCTGTCATGATCCGTAATGATGATGATATTTCATCATTCTAAAAATAACTTTGTCATCAGTGATGATAAAAAATAAGGATATGCCATCATCCCTGAAATAAAGATAAAAAAAATTACATCATCCTAAAAACCTTGCCACCAGTGATGAAAGATGAGAAAGATATTTCATCATTCTAAAATCTGATTATAAAAAACGACCATTCCACCACAGTCAGGACACTAGGATCAGTAATAACAGATTAGAGTAGAAGGTAGCAGTAGCAGTAGTAAAAAGGGACACAATATATCGTATCACCATCGCTCCGGAAAATCGAAAGTTGTCGATCTCAAAAGCTATCCTTAATAACTACATTCTCGGAACAAGCAAAAGTAAGTAAGTACAAACTTTTAAAGAAACAAAAGACACTGAGAATATTTTTAAAAAACAATATACCAATATTGTCATTGACATCACGCAAAGAAAAATAAATATTCTTGTTATTAATTTCAACACGTGTCTCAAAGCATTGTTATTGTATAAATCAGTATAAATAATATAAAAAGGATTCCTCTACCAACTTCAAATACATTTAATAAAGGATCAACTTCCATTACACATACCCAACATCTGACCCCGTTGCAGTGCTACAGTGCTTTTTATGAATCACATCAGTTGTGTCCATTCATATTACACCCAATGGAATAAAAATATCTGATAGAATCCTTTAAATCATTTTAAAAAAAGGCGATTTACCTTCTTCTCTCTTTCTTCCTTTCTTTATTATTTTCTTTCTTTCTTTATTATTTTCTTTCTTTATTTCGTTCTTTCTTTCTTTCTTTCTTTCTTTCTTTCTTTATTATTTTCTTTCTTTATTTCGTTCTTTCTTTCTTTCTTTGCTATTTTCTTTATTTATTTCGTTCTTTCTTTCTTTCTTTCTTTCTTTATTATTTTCTTTCTTTATTTCGTTCTTTCTTTCTTTCTTTCTTTACTATTTTCTTTCTTTATTTCGTTCTTTCTTTCTTTCTTTATTATTTTCTTTCTTTATTTCGTTCTTTCTTTCTTTCTTTGCTATTTTCTTTCTTTCTTTCTTTATTATTTTCTTTCTTTATTTCTTTCTTTCTTTCTTTCTTTCTTTCTTTACTATTTTCTTTCTTTATTTCGTTCTTTCTTTCTTTCTTTCTTTCTTTATTATTTTCTTTCTTTATTTCGTTCTTTCTTTGCTATTTTCTTTCTTTCTTTCTTTATTATTTTCTTTCTTTATTTCGTTCTTTCTTTCTTTCTTTCTTTCTTTCTTTGCTATTTTCTTTATTTATTTCGTTCTTTCTTTCTTTCTTTACTATTTTCTTTCTTTATTTCGTTCTTTCTTTCTTTCTTTCTTTACAATTTTCTTTCTTTATTTCGTTCTTTCTTTCTTTCTTTCTTTCTTTCTTTCTTTCTTTCTTTCTTTCTTTCTTTGCTATTTTCTTTCTTTTTTCCTTTACTATCTTCTTTATTTCGTTCTTTATTTACCATTTTCTTTCTTTCTTTCTTTCTTTCTTTCTTTACTATTTTCTTTTTTCCTTTCTTTACTATCTTCTTTATTTCGTTCTTTATTTACCATTTTCTTTCTTTCTTCCTTTCTTTACTATTTTCATTCTTTCTTTATTTATTTACCATTTTCTTTATTTCTTTCTTTCTTTCTTTCTTTCTTTCTTTCTTTACCATTCTCTTTCTTTCTTTCTTTACCATTCTCTTTCTTTCTTTCTTTCTTTCTTTATTTATTTATTTACTATTTTCTTTCTTTCTTTCTTTCTTGACCATTCTCTTTCTTTCTTTCTTTCTTTCTTTCTTTCTTTCTTTCTTTCTTTCTTTATTTATTTACTATTTTCTTTCTTTCTTTCTTTCTTTATTTATTTACTATTTTCTTTCTTTCTTTCTTTCTTTCTTTACCATTCTCTTTCTTTCTTTCTTTCTTTCTTTATTTATTTATTTACTATTTTCTTTCTTTCTTTCTTTACCATTCTCTTTATTTATTTATTTATTTATTTATTTATTTACTATTTTCTTTCTTTCTTTCTTTCTTTACCATTCTCTTTCTTTCTTTCTTTCTTTCTTTCTTTATTTATTTATTTACTATTTTCTTTCTTTCTTTCTTTCTTGACCATTCTCTTTCTTTCTTTCTTTCTTTCTTTATTTATTTACTATTTTCTTTATTTCTTTCTTTCTTGACCATTCTCTTTCTTTCTTTCTTTCTTTATTTATTTATTTACTATTTTCTTTCTTTCTTTCTTTCTTGACCATTCTCTTTCTTTCTTTCTTTCTTTATTTATTTATTTACTATTTTCTTTCTTTCTTTCTTGATCATTCTCTTTCTTTCTTTCTTTCTTTCTTTATTTATTTATTTACTATTTTCTTTCTTTCTTTCTTTCTTGATCATTCTCTTTCTTTCTTTCTTTATTTATTTATTTACTATTTTCTTTCTTTCTTTCTTTCTTGATCATTCTCTTTCTTTCTTTCTTTCTTTATTTATTTATTTATTTACTATTTTCTTTCTTTCTTTCTTGACCATTCTCTTTCTTTCTTTCTTTCTTTCTTTATTTATTTATTTACTATTTTCTTTCTTTATTTCGTTCTTTATTTACTATTATCTTTCTGAACCATTTTCTTTTTTGTTTCTCTCTTCACCATTTTCTTTCTTTCCTTCTTTCTTTCATTAGCATTTTCTCTCTTTCTTTCTTTCTTTCTTTCTTTCTTTCTTTACCATTTTCACGCTTTCTTTTTTTCTCTCTTCATTATTTTCTTTCTTTCTTTCTTTTTTTCTTAAATACTTTCTTTACCTAGATTTAATGAATATTCGCGTTATTACTTTAAGAAAAGACCACGCTTTTATGAATCACTTCATCTGAATCAATATCAATAAATCGCTGAGTATTGCCATGAAGTAGAATTGAACATTGTCGATTAACCAGCATCTATCGCATTTTGCTTGACTAAATGTGCATTTCATCCATTTGTAGGCAGGATACTCACCTATGTTTATTGGTGAATCCATTTACCACAGATCAGTTAAATGACTCTCGACATTTGCATAGCCTATCTTCAGTATCGCCATGTACTCAGATATGTACTTGAACCCGTACCGCGTCAATACGGACGCCCCAATTAGCACTACACGCCTAAATGACCTCAGATAGTACTTCTGAATGTACTTTGTCGAACGCTTACAAGTGCTGAGTAAAGATAAAACAATCGTTTCTTCGTTTCTTTTTCTCTTCCCCCCCCCCTGTAATATTGATTGGTACGAACATTCATCTACAGTGTCATCATGTAAAAATAGCATTTATTTTGCATAAGTACTATTTAATTTTCATCACAATCTTTTCCTTGTCAATGCACTTAATACCGTGAAGAATATTAATCGCACAGACCAAAAGGTTTGCGTCCTGGGTAAGACGATAAACTACACCCAGCAGCAAGGCCTCGGATCGTTGGACGTCTGCAGTGTCATCCTGGTAACATGTGGCCGAGCATTTTCATGAAGCAGAACTGGGCCTCCTCGATTAACCAGTACTGGTCATGTTTTGTTTAACTGAATGCGCATTTCATCCAGTAAATGTCGGCAGTGATGGTCGAGTTAGATTCCAGAAAAGATAAGGCCAATGGTAGGCCACCAGACAGTCGTCATAATCTTCTGTTTGAGCAATTTCAGTTTTGAAAACTGTTTGAGGGCTTCGTCCTGATGACATCATGGATCCGATTTTTTATTATTTTCATAAAGCAGGGGTCACCAAACTACGACCCGAGGACCGAATCAGACCCCGACATCAGTTCATCCAGTCTACCGATTCACTGTGCTACAAATGAGCTAAAATATAATTATTTATTTTGAATTATCAATTAATTATAGTTAAACTTACTACGTACAAAAAATAAATGTAAGTAAAATGCTAAAATTTGGCCAATCTGACTTTTGCATCTGATAGTAATATAAGTTTTAGGAAAATCACTGAAATAAAAAATGCAGCGACATTTTGCAAATTTTGATATCCGAGCGTTTTTGTGTCAATGAGCTTTCTAAGAAAAGCGATTACGGGCCTGCTGCATCAATTATGTTTTAACTTGCATTGTTGTGTTTAAACCAGTCTGAAGAGTGTCGTATATAAATGATATGTCCCGAAAAAAGAATATATTTGAACGAAGTAGCTAAGTGTTTTTGGCTACTATAACCAAGTAGAATACGGTAGCAGTAATCGACTGGTACGCGTCGTAGTCGCAGGTAAGAAGTGTAGATTAATGGTGTAGTCCAATGGGCGTCGTTATAGACTTAGCTCTCAGACTAAGGCTCTCGAATCTCCTACACGTCCGTCGATATTTATGACGGACACCAGCCAATCATATTCCAGTGAGAGGGAACACAGGTGTACGCATATTCCATTATGTCAATAAAAAAGACTGACTTCAACGAATTATGTCATATATATTTGCCTGAACTTATTATAAAATCTAAAGTATGTAAAGTCAGCACATGTAACGAGGTTGTCTGATAAACATTTGAAAGCATTTCTCTTGGTTGGATGCAGCAATACGAAAACAAATATTAATTATATCTTAAAAAGTAAACACCAGTTTCACAAATCTTACTAACCTTTTGTGCTGCTTAGTTTTTGAGATTCGGATATGTGCGCACTTGTTGTGGTATAACTATTTTATTGCTATTGTCACATTCTTGGATAACTTTTTAGTAAATAAGTACGTTTGTTGTCTTTATTTTTTTGTGCATTCAGTGAATATTGAACAAAATGGTTATCTGGCCACTGCTCGTCATTCCCTCAATTATCTGGCCTTCTGTGAAAAAAGTTTGGCGACTCCTAGTGTAGACTCATATTTGAATTATTTCTTTAGAAATTGTCTTTCTTTACGTTTCAATATCAAACCGAGCAGATATGAAATTTGGCCAATCTGATTGCATATGGCAGTAAAATAAATTTTAGGAAAATCAGTGAAATAAAAAATTCGGCACCTTTTGATATCCGAGCGCTTTTTGTGTAAGTAACTGCAATTAAGTTTCTAAGAAAAGCGATTACGAGCCTGCTGCAGCAATTATGTTTTAACTTGTATTGCCGTGTTTAAACCAGTCTGAAGATTGCCGTATATAAAAAAGACTGACTTCAACGAATTATGTCATATATTTTGCCTGAACTTATTATAAAATCTAAACTATGTAAAGTCAGCACATGTAACGAGGTTGTCTGAGGAACATTTGAAATCATTTCGCTTGGTTGGATGCAGCAATACCAAAAGAAATATTGATTCTATCTTAGAAGGTAAACGACAGTTTCACAAATCTTACTAACTTTTTGTTCTGCTTAGTTTGTGAGATTCATAACTTATTTATTGGTATTGTCGCCTTCTTGGATAACTTTTTAGTAAATAAGTATGTTTGTTGTCTTTATTTTTTGTGCATTCAGTGTATTGTATTGAAGAAAATCGTTATCCGATCCGCACTCATCAATATCTAAGTTATCTGACCCTCTGTGAAAAAAATTTGGTGACCCTTGTCCTAAAGGATTCATAAAGATCTGATATTGTTGAAATGATGACACCTATTTTCTCTGACACTTTTGCTCAACTGGTGTTTTCATATGCTGATTGTCAATTTCAGATGATCGTCATCTACTACTTTGATCTTCATGACTCGTATCTCCGCTGCGGAACTTCAGAAAACAGCGCCATACTGTCCTAGTGGCTCCTTCACCACCCCATGCTCTGTTAATGTTGGTCGAACTTTGAGATCTCTTCTTTTTTTACGACCAAGCTCGAACTCAATTTAAAATTAACGGCAATCCTTAACCTTCTTACCGGCAAAAAAAAAACAAAAAAAAAAAAAAAAAACGATGCTTTAAAAGTATGGTTTTTCCCTTGACACCGTTATTATTTTAACTACCTTCACTCCTCAGCTTGTTTTAAAAGCGATGATTAAAATTTTAATAAAACCTAAACATATGAAAGTGAATTTATACATTTTCTTTGTTCTTGAGGACTGTAAAGATAAATAAACGCTATTTCTTATATAGGTTATTTAAACTATTTATTTATTAGACTTTTTATTGGAATAGTTGGCAAAATGTCGGTTAACTGCCAGTTTATTCGAACTTTATAAATAATAAAGATTTCCTTATGCTTGGTTCGTATATTTTAATAATTTAGTAAATATTTATAAATTTATGAACAAAAAATTGTTTTCATTTTCTTGTAACCTAGAAAAGGTTACTGAATGAAGAATAACCAAAATGGAGTTTGGAAATGAAATGGTAATCTTTATAACATCAACAAAATACAATACTCGCCAGCGGCATGAAATAGGTAAACCACTGCTTGCGATGGACTACTTAGACAGCATATTACAATATTTACCAGACTCCCCACGAGGTAGGATGCGGCACAAGGCTAAATTTAATGTGGGGAAATCCGAGCCTGTGGGCTTGGGCAAAATAGCCTGTAGACCCCGCATACGCAGGATCAGGTATCTGTCTACCTCCTCGGACGGGACTCTGCCCTTCGGCATAGCCTGGTCCGGGTTCCTCTCTTCTCAAAAGCAGAGAGTTCGACACAGCAAGTGCTTCCCACGCTGCCAGCTTAGACAGCATATTACCCTCAGTTACAAAAGTATCCTACTTATTTATGATGATTGGGACAAAGCCATTAGTGTTCCTAAGTACGGTATATAGCAGTCAGTAAATTCTTCCGTCTAACTATGCGTTTACATAGATGAATCTGGTTGATCATGAATCGACCCTTGGCCCGGCACGCGATTATCATGAGTTCCAAAAACTATCCCTTGACATGTAAACTGATTCTCCAACTATTTACCTTATCTCAATCACGAGTTCTTCTCGCTTCCCCAAAATTATACTTTGGGATATCTAAACATTGATTCAACCTTTTAATCAAAACAAATACTGTTGAATAAAACCAAATATCTCGTAGCCTGAGTAAGCTCTATTTTAACTTTTAACCGATAAATTTTATTTAGGTAATTTTTTTCATTGTCTTTTCTAATGACCCAGATTTAAAACATCGCCTCCTGCCTGAGATCGTGTTTCTCATCGGTAAACACACATCTTAACCCAAATTGTACTTTGATATATAAACACCATTTCCACTTCCAGTCAATAAAAGTTATATTTGCGTGTGTGCATTCATGTGAGTGTGTCTGTGTATACCTCTCT